CTGGCCTGCCTTTAGTGCTTCTTCAAGACTGGATTATTACAAATGATCAAGAAGCAGCACATGTATGTGGTCTGGCAGAAATATTCAGTAATTTCCATCTTGATGAGAAGGGTGGAGATTGCTCCTTACAGAGGAGATTGAGTAATGTCTAAATCTGTCAGAAGAACACACAGAAATACATTTTATGTGTTTTGGCTTAATTTTCATGATCTCAAACTAGATTTCAGACAACACAGAATACTTACATACAGGTGACCACAAGCCAAAGGTGATCAATGCTCATATTTATTAATTTCCAGAGATTTGGTCAGTAGGGACTGCAAAAGTTGCACAGTAAACTTTAGGCAAGATAACACTGAGCTTGACTGAAAAGCTGCTAGAAGGTCTTCAGAGTAATTTCTAATGGTAAGGGACTGTGTAAGGAAAATTTCAGTTGCTTGTAAATAAAAGATGGAAATAATTCAATGGTTGAATTTGACCCTAGCTTTTAGAAAACAGACAATAAATGAGGCCCAACCTAATTTGTGCTGTCTTATGAATATATATTTTGTTACACTTGTAAGTAATGAGAAGCAAAATGAAGTTTATCTTACCAAATGTTTTCTTTCCTTAAAAACAGTGCAAAAAACTTTACAAATATTCTTAACTGAGAGGATGCTAAGAACATTCAGAAATCCTCTCTCATTCCGAGAAGAGGAAGTCTTCAGGCTTCTTCCTCTGGGTTTTGATTTGACAATAAATTGAACTCAGATTCTTATGGGTAAAATCATTGTGAATTTATTATTCTACTGTTAACTGCTGTCTCTCTCAATTTATGACAGTTTCAAATGTTCTGTTTTGAACTTGAGTGGATTAGAGGATAGATGTTCGAACAGTCACGATTTAAGTTTTCAAACACTGTCGTGTAAGAATTCAACATTTTTCTCTTAAAGTCAAATTTTTTTGCACAGTCCTTATGAGCCTCAAAAATAAATTCTTCAGGAGGAAAAACCAGCATGCTTTGAAGATTTGCAATAAAATCACTGGCTGTATATTTGTAGTGTTCCATACAATGGGCTTATGACTGGAACCATGTCATCCTTTTTTCCCCAAAGATACAAAGAATGAATGTTCATGTTTTCCATATACTATTTTTCTCTTTTCCTACCTCCCTGTCTCTTTCTATATATGCGTATTTTAAGAAGAGACTTTCAAGGGGGAAGGAGTGGGGCAGGACAAGGAAGAATTATCTGGAAGATATTATCGCCTTTTTAGAATTAAGGCGACCACAGCTATGAAAATAAGGAGGAAACAACTACTGGTGTTTGCTTCTCTTCTGAATTAAACCAGATGTGTTTAAACAATCCCATTGTTTGGGTTTATTTAAACAGGGGGGATAATCTGTCTTGATCAGCAGAAGATCAGCAGCCCCAGCACTGGGAGGCTGTAAAGCCATTTTAGCATCCCTTGCCTGTGGTGATTTCCAGCTCTCTCCCCAGAGCTCCTGAGCTGGGACACAGGGCTGGGCTGACAGGGAGGCATCGCCTCCAACATCCATGCAAATCTATTTAACAGCAGCTCTACACATCCTCTCTGTAGCATCTGTACAAGCATCTCTGTGATAGCAATCCTGTGCTGCCCAGCAGATAATATGTGCTTTTAATGAGCCAGTGGAGATGGGAACAGGGAGAAAATCCCTTCTGTCTGCACCGACTCTAAAATTTTGCTCTGCACTTTTTAAAATACTAAATGGCTCTCTGAGAGCTCAGGAATTGCTTTACAAAATTGGCTTTTTGGTGTGAAAAATAAGCTAGCAGATAAAAAACTTTGTTGTTGTTGACAAAATCTGTTAAAAAGCTGTGGTATATATTGAGAGAGAATGAAAAAAAGACTCACTAATTTTTTTTGGTCAGAAGTCAATGTCATTAATCTACTCTCAGGGTCAGCTGGAAGTGTGAGCAGAAAATAAACTCCTGTAACATAATAAAAATTCTGATACTACCTTTCCTTGTAGCATTTACTGTCTCAGTTGTGACTGATATGGGAAGTCATGTATATTAAAAAAATGTGATTTATCTCACCTTATCTCAGAAGTTTCTGTGCAACTAGGAACTACTCTGGAACGCAGTCTTAAAAAAATCCCTTGCTCTGGAACTTTCCAGGAAGCTTACTCTGCTATAGAATATGTTTTATCAATTGATTTTTTTTTCCTTTGTCTTTTGTATTTATTGTCAGGAACAAGCAGATGAATTGGATTACTTTAGCGGGAATAACCAGCCAAATTGGATTAACCTGATGAACTGATAAAATCCTTTCACATTGTCACAATGCCCAGGGATTCCTTCCTGACATCTCTATTTCTATTAACATCTTCCTCCTCCTCATTGTTTGAGATGCTGAAATGTTTTTCAAATTGTGTTGTGAAGTGACAAGCATATGGGAATTTGGGTGGTGTATGGTTAAAAATCTTGATGACACTCGCTCTGGGATATGGGAAAAGGTAAGGGTCTGTTTCCCTTGAATCTCAATGTTAAAGAATGCCAGTCAGCTCTTCCCTGTTCACCCCTTGCTGTCCATCCTCCCTTCACCACACAACAGGACTTGTTTTCCACCTCTGACGGGTCCTGGAGCCCTAAAATTCCCTCTGCTTAAGATCTGGCAGAATGTCCTTTTGCTGTTCTCACTCCTGTTTCAGGAAACTCGTTACAATTCAGCAGGACTCCAGTTTCTCTTGGAGTTTTACATTCCTGGCCAGTGTGAGAAGGTTTCAAATCATTTGATGGTGAAATTTAGAGTGTGCCAAGTGCCTTGGGCACATGCAGGGGTGACAAACCACAGGTGCACTCTGCTCCCAGTGAGAAGCACCATTAAGTCAGTGAGGCTGCTACATCAGGCACTGAAGTTCTAACACTCTGCTTGTTAAGGCCACCAGTAACAGCCCCAGTACTCTCAGTGGTGCACACCTCTCTGAAGTGACTTTAGGAGTTGTTCCTGGGAAAGGCATGGAAAACAATCCTATCCTGGGTTTATTTGATTTTACCTGCAGTGATGTGACTTGAGAGGTAGGAAAGAACTGGGAATGATAGCAAGGACTACACAGAAGTACAATTTTTTCCTGCTTCCATTTGAAATGCTGTGCAAAACTCAAAGATACTATTTACAGAATATTAGCCTCTTTTGTTCATTCTTTGCTGTCTCAAAGGCATTTCTATTATCCACTCACCTTTGTGTTCACTCTCTATTTCACAGTTTTTCTGCAAGGATGGGGCCTTTCACAAAAAGACCTTCCTCACAATTCACTCTTATAACACAAGGTGAAAACTGATTTTCACAAATTCATATTTAACTCATGCCTAGATTGAATTAAAACTACAGAAGGACAGTGAATACATTTTAATATTTGCCTCCATTCATAGTAGTCTAATGGGATCCATGAAAGTGTTTGAGGTGTGAAACCCATAACAGGTTATTGTGCTAAGAATGCATTGCTCCTGTGACTATCTCAGCCTCATGCTCAGGCTGCTGGTTGTTAGGGGACTACAGTTTTTGTCTCTGCTCTCTGATGGACTCATTATATTATTTGTTTTTAAATAATGTTGAGAATTTAAATATAATTAAAATTTGGTTCACATTGTAAGCTAGTTAACCATCTTTGTTACTGGGTTCTGGGCTTAGAGTATGGGATGTTGAATGTTGCCTAATTATATTACATATAATTTCTTTTTTATAAGTCAAACCCTTCAGGAGCACAAAGCTATTTCAGCAGAGTTTCAGTGAAAGCTGTTTGGCCAGAGGGATTTTTCACTGCCACATGTTACATCCTTCCATAGAAGTACAGCACTGCCATTTCAATTTGTCTGATGTGTCTCCTATAACTGTGCAGACTTGTCTCTTAAATCTGTTGTCACTAAATGCTAGTCTGGAACAAAACCTGGTTCCACAAACATCCTGTACAAAGAAAGATTAGTTAAAAAGTAGTATATATAGGATGGGGCACAGATCTTTAAGTTAATTTTCACCAGACTAATCTACCTCCCAGTGTACACAGCCCAGTTTTTCTTCAGCTATTGAAGGCCTCTATTGGTTCTCCTACATTCTCTTTCCTTTGCTCTTTACACTTTTTTTTATCCTCTTGTTTCTCTTCCTTTGACATTATCTCTCACTGAGGTGCCTACAGATCCCCAGTTCCTCTTTGCCTCGCTGTGCTTTGAAGTCAGCAATCACTTTAATGACATTGACACAGGATTTGAAGGAGCTCTAAGTTTGTGCCAGGACTAAATTGGGAGGAGCTGCTGACCCTGCAGAGAGGCCTCGAGATCAGCATCTGGGTGAACAGAGAAGTGCCAGATTTTGCACGTGGGACAGAGCAGCCCTGTTGTGTTTGTAACTGGGGAATGCTCTCAGGCACAGGGTGGGACTGCTGGGCCTGTCCTGTCCCAGACCAGCAGCCTCACTCGATGATCCTGATGGCTCCCTTCCAACTCAGCATATGGTTCTGTGAGAGAACAGGGCTGGGGGAAGGACAAAGCACTTCTAGCTTTAGGACCAACTTGTAAAATGGGTTGAGAAGCCAAATCTGGACAGATTTGGACAAGACTGGAAAGCTACTGGGTGCTGCCTATTGTTATAGATGGATAACGAGATGGTTGGCTCTCGCAGTTAGGAGATGAATATTGTGTGTATGTTAAAAGAAGTTTCACTGATACATGGTTATATGTTATTGTGGTTTGTTGTTTGGACACACTGTTCTCCCCACTGGCCCCTCTCCCTGCTCCGTATTGCTGCCAATGGACAGCCTTGGCTCTGAGGGACGTGAGGAGGGTGAGCATGTACACACACCCCAGAACAGGGGAGGAGCGCTGCCAGGGAGGCGGGGCATGGCAGCACCTCACCTCCAATCAAGGTACAGGAAAGTCGTGTCCACCAATGGATGGTGGAGAAGAGTTGACTGACAGACCTGGGGAGGGGCCAGGGTTGGCTGATGCAGCACCAGAGGTATAAAAGGAGGAGCAGCCATTTTGTGGAGGCGCTCATGGCTGCCTGGTCACCAGCTCCTGCTGCGCTGCCCTTTTTCCTTATTCAGGCCTTTGTTGTATTTTGTTAAGGTTTTTACTAAACCTTTTAAAATTTTTAAAAGCGAGTGTCTCTCACACCTTCCACGCTGATCCAGTTGAGTGGGTGTTACTGGTTTAGAAGCACTTTACCTTTCTAACCTGTTTCTCTTTAAATTTCTAAATTTTAAAGTGTTGGTTGAAAAGCAAGGTACTAAGTTAGAAATTGGAGTATTAATTTCATTATACTTGAGTTGCATTAAAGCTGGGTATTTAGTCTCTGCCAGCTGTCTTCAGCCACCTGTTTTTCTGTGAATAACCCATGCTTAAATTGGTTTTCAGGAAAATGAAATGAGCTGTCCCTGCAACCAGGCTTTGATGTGAACAAAATAAGACTTAAACATACCTGGTAGGATTATATTTCCCATACTCTTGAGACATAAGTTAGTGTTTTCCTCCTTAGCTTATTGACTCAAATCCAATTTGATATCTGTTTCTGTGTATTGCATTGTTTACATTATTTGTTGGCAAATAATGGGATTATTTAGATAAAACAAGCAAATATGTTTTATGCAAGTTTCCTGCCAGTAAGGCCATGTAAATGTGACAGGTACTAGACACATGATTTTCTTTGGTTGAGATGAAAGGAAAAGCTCTACAAGTAGTTTCTCTCACCAAGCAAAAGTGCAAAGCAAAATATTGCATTACAGTATTTTAAAAACATGTAGAAAACCAACACTCAGAATGTTGCAGATTTGTCAGGTTTTGCGAGAGGTAACTGACTTTGTTTTTGCTGAAACACCACAGGAGCCAGAGGTGAAAATCCAGGTTATTTTCCATTTGCTCCCGCATGTTTTCATAGACCAAATGTTAGATGGAAGGTCAAGTCTGGTAGGGAACAAGTAGATATTATTAAAGAGAATTAAACAATTTAAAAAGAGAGAGATCTGGCTGGCAATTTAAGAGATGTTTGAGAAAACAGTGACAAGGCTATCAGAGGCTGAGAGTACATTGTTGTCTTTATTTGCTAATTTCATCTATTGCTCTATTAAGATGGAAATATGGAAGAAAGAAATGAGATAGGGAGTGTTGTGGGGTTATAACACAAGATTTTTGAGAGGAAGGAGACACAAACATAGTGATGATTTGGTTTACATAGGCTGCTTAAAGAAATGTGGCTCTGAAAAAGCTCTGATTGGTGAAATGAGGAGGAAGGGGGATTAGAAGATTAATTAAGCAGTAGTTTTTATGTTTATTTTCCTGAGATTACTTTTCCAGTATTAAAAGATAAATGATTCCATTAAAGAGGGACAAAATAGGGGAGAAGAAATGTCCTGGAAGACCAACATGCTTTGCAGTACCTACTGCAGCTGAATTGCTGTGAGGGGAAGCTCAGGCAGTCAGCAGGACCTGAAGGCACTGGGAGAGCCCAAGCAGCAGAGATACAGGAGAGAAGCAGATATGAGTGTTCAGAGAGGTGGTGTCTAATTCTGATACAATTCACATCAGTTAATGGCAGAAACTGCTCCACAGGAGTCAGATGAATTTCACAGCTTAAAACTGGTGGGGGGTTTAGGACTTTTGACTCCTGGTTGAAAAGAACCCCTGGAATTGAATTTAAAGAATAATGATGAGTCACACTTGGAAATAGTACTGTGGATGCCTCAGGACTGGCTTTACAATATTCTTTTCCTGATTATTGTGATGATGACCTGAAACCTGCACAAAGCCACTATGCAGCGTTGGTAATTAATGAGGTTAGGCTTTAGGAGTTGTGCTGGTTTAATTGATACCAGTTTGTTATATGTGATGGGGCAGCAGCTGGGTCAGGGAGCCTCTGTGGAGAGCTGGAGCTGCTGATACTCTGATTGTTACCTGATTGAATGTTCTGATATTCTGATGTTCTCTGATATTCTTGGGGCTGAAAGTGTTAGGGCACCTGGATACAGCAGAAGGGGGAATTAGCCCAGACAAATGTGTAGGTTACAGGACAATAGTCCGTACGGGAACTGAAAACACTTATGTTCTCTAATGCCATCGTTATTACAGTGCTATCCAAGGTAATTTTTGTTGGAAGAAGTAGTAACAATTCTTATTCTTAGGCTGCCTGCTACTTCATATTATAGAGGGTTCTTGTAACCTTTATCTGAATGTTTTCAGCACCTCATCTGCTTGCAAAAGACTTTTGAAATTCAGTGAAGTGGAAGCCTTCAGGGTAATAAATGTTCACAAGTAGAATCACCTGGGAATGTTCTGTGAAAGATTTAGAGGTTTGCTGTTACAAAATTGCTGAATCCCCTAAACTGAATCTTTCCTGATCCCAGACATTGGACAAATGCAGGATGGAAGACCTGGTCAAAATGAGAGATAGGAAAAGACATTCACAAAATGGCTGTTATCAACAAAGAAAAGGAGACAGAAAATTGTCTACCTGAGAACAGCCAGGCACCCAGCACTTAAAATACTTAGAATTTCTCATATGGGAGGCTCACATTTTAATTGCTGCTCCAGATTAATAGCCTGAATCTGTACTTTTAATGTGCAAGATGAATGCCATGGTGTCTGAGCTCCTGGGTTTGTAGTTATTCCTTCCCTCCTTCATTAGAAATGAGAATTTTATCTTTGACACACATGATTTTGTTAACAGCATGGAAACTCGTAGGCAGCTGCAGGTCTCTTTGCAGATACAGAAACACTGGCAGAGCTGAAAGAGGGACCTCACCTGCAGAAAAGTGGCCGCACCAAAAATACACTGAATTACATAGACCTGAGATATGTCATCTCAGCCAAAACAATTTTAAATCAGTGTGATTCTAGAGCTGGAGTTAATGCAGGGCTAGATGAGCCAGAATTTGTAATGCATGTAGCATACTCAGCCCAGACTGGATGGTCTATTTTCAGCACAGATAGAATAGTTCTTTCTGTGACAAGATGTTTCCAAAACAACTCATCTGAAAGATGAAGCTATTCTGTAACTCAAATTACCAGTAGGGAAAAGTCTGTCAGTTCATAAAAGGTATAACTTCTGGACTCCAAATTATATGGCTCTTAAGGTGACTGAGTCTATTCCTTATTGATTCCAAAGTGTCCTCCTCTACAAATACTTGGATATTTATACTTTAGTGGTGTATCTCTGATAAAAAAATGAGATGGACATTTCTGCAGTTTCTCTTTTGCAGCAGGTAAAATCATTAATCACCTGCAGTACTCTCCCACTGCAGCACGCCTGGGGATAATAAACACCCGTTAGAAACCAACAGCAACACACTATTCTCTCCTGAGCTGTATTGTTCCCTGTAATGAAAATGTTAGTCAACAGAGGATATTTTACCCCATTGAAATTATTTTCTATTTGAGCCATGAATTTAAGGGTAATGGAAAGTGTTCAGGTGATGGTTCTATAAACTCACGTGCTCTGTTATTTCACTGCAGTCACACAAAACTGTTCTTGCTACTTCTGGCCTGTTGGACAAAGTAAATTTTTCATGCAGCTTCCACATCTTGTCTGTCCTCAGAAAAAGACAAATATAACTATGGGGAGAGGGGACTCTTGTCCATGGCGCAGAGAAATCAGTCTTTCAAATTATTCAACTACCAGAAAGCAAGCTGAAAGGAATCTAACTAGACTATTTATTTTTATAATTTAGTTTGATGTGGGAGTCACAGGTTCAGGTAAATACTCCAGAGTGATGCTGATGCATCCAAATAATCTTCCCATGTAGTGTTTTTCTTTTCCTCTTTAAAACAGAGAAAGTGGCATTTCCTTGCTTAAAAAAGACTGAAAAAATAATTATATCAGTGAACTTCAGGAACTTGAGGTTGAAGAGCAGCATATTTCTTCCATTCCAAAACTACTTGCCCCAAGTTTATTCCATTTAATCCCACTATTTTTTTACTAGATTTTATTATCATCAATACAGTTTGCACAAAATTACATGGAAGGTCCCCTTAAATCCTTTCCAAATCAGATCCTGCATCCTCTGAACAGTACTCGGTGAAACTAAGGTCCAAAAGCAAACAAAATGAGGAAAATCTTGGCAAAATGTGACTAGAATAATTTTCAAACCAACTCATATCTACAGTGTGATGCTGATGGTCACAGGGTGAGTGAAACAGATATTCACAGCAGTTAAAAAACTCTGGTTATCTACAGAGGGTTGGCATGTTAGCCATATTTACATCCATATGCCTGGATGTAGCTCAAGTTCTGTGGGAAATAAAACTCTAAAGACAATTGTTAACACATTTTGCTTTACACCAGGGCATGTGAAGGCACAGCCGATTACACCAGGATCACCTTAAATTGTAAAGAGTTCCACGACTGAGTTGCTTTCCCTTCTCTGTATCTGAATGTTGCTTGTTTTCTGGTAACCACAAAGCTTCTAGGGAAAGTCTTCACATGTAAACACTCTTTGTACCAGCTGCTAAGTGATTTTCTCATTATCCTTTCAGTAAAGCTCCCTCTTGCTATTGTCATTTAAATGGTTCGCTTCAGACACAATGTTTCAAATCATTTTCTTTCCTTCTTTGTTTCTATTAGAGGGCAGTGTTTTCCCTCTTTTCAGAAAATAATAATACATTTTTGTTGTCACATCAAGTTGCCTTTAAAGGCCAGAATTTGATGAAAGTTGGTGAATTCTTTTTGCAGTAAGTGTAGCTAAAAAAATTGAAAAAGAAAAAAAAAGTAATAAAGACAAAATATTAAAATACAAAAATGAAATTATACACTTTTCAAGCTGTAATAATGGGGTAATAAAAGTTAATTCCCTCAGTGAGCTTAGCTAACAAAAACTGGCTCTGGACATCAGGTGCCAAAAGAATCTTAGCTGTTTGCAACTCTGGCTTTTTCCACTTGAACTTGTAGGCACTGGAAATTCCCAGCACCTGTGTTTGGTGTGAGATGTGGATTCTCTTTGGGACCTCACTGTTGATCAGTGACTGCACAGCACTGGGCACTTTCTGGGTTTTTTAGGTCAGGAAGAGGTCTCAGAAACGTGCTTAGTACCTTTTATTTTCTTCCTCCTGCAGATTTAAGAGCATGAATTTGCTCATTAAACCCTCTGTGTCTATAATTTTGTAGCAATAAATTCTGAGGCCTTAAAACTGTACGTGAAAAGTTTATTTGGAGAAATTTATCTCTGCAAATTGTTCACCTTTTTGTAGATTCACTGGCATAAATCAAGTGAACTGTGTATTTGTAAATGCTGGTTGGTTTTAAAAAATTATAATAATGGTACTTTTGTTAGGAAATTCTAAAGGCCCAGGACTAAATTACAGTTTTCAATGCTCTTTACCTTGAAAAACTGATTCTAGGAATACTTTACAGTGTTCTGTGATTTGCTTTTCCTTTCATCTAATTACTTTTAACATACTTGTTCAGAAAATGGAAAATATTAAACATACAGTATCAAGATTGCATCTCAGGCAGAACTAATAATTTCTAAAAACTTTAATTTTACTATAGATATATTTCTGATGAAAATTATTACATTCTTCTACCAAAATTATATGTCCAGGTTCCCTGCTTCTATTTTCTTTTGGCCTTTCTTTTTCACTCATGAACAAAATGAGATTCAGATTAAACCTATAGTGGAAAATAATCTTTTACTTCTACCTCCAAGTTCTATGCTATGCTGCAGAATATTAGCAAATTTCTTTCCTTGCCTATTTATCAGGCCAGATTGTATTGGTTAGAACCTTTATTTTTGTCAGATTTTATTTTCTTTTAAAGATATTCTGTCTCTAGACAAAAAACCTCCAGTGTAGTAAAGTATTTAAATTGTTTTGGGAGCTAAAATGTGGACTACAGGCAGATTTCAGCTGTTATAAATCTTTTTTAGCTTCACAAAAGTGAAAGGTTAGGTTATTTCGAGGTACCATTCAAAGAATGTTTTATATGAGGAATAGAAAGATGAATTGTTTCCAGCACATAATTTTGTATGTATAAGTTATTTCTCTAGGAACTGTCCATCCTAACCCATTAGTTCTCTGGGCAAGAGAGGTTACTCTGTTAAGGGATCAATAAGGTTTGCTACCAATGTAGGGCAGGGAATGTTCTGCAGTGCCACTCTTTAAGCCCTGTTTGAAGCCAGGCTCCTTTGGGGAGGTGCTGGTGGCTGCAGCAGAGCCCTCATTTCCCGTGGGGTACCAGCCCCGAGGAGCCCCTGGGGTGTGTGTGTGCCACAGGGTGTGTGTGCATGCAACAGGCACATCTTCCCTTCCTGAAGGCTCCTGCTGAGATGGAGCTGACACCCTTTGCTGGTGCAGGGCGCTGCTCTCTGCAGGAGACTGTTTTTCCAGGGCCCTCAGTATTTGAACAAGCCTTGACTGTCTGGAGCAGCCTCACCTGGGATCACCACCCACACCCCTCTGCTTTTCTCCTCTTCAGGAGCTGTGTGGTAGCCAGCCCTGTTTCCTCCTGTCCCAGCTTGCCAAATGGAGTTTCAGAATTTACCTTGGACTTGTTCTTTTATTGCATCTTGTCAGAGGATCACTGGATGGCCACCAGAGCATCTGCAGCCCAGCTCTGCCTGGATGCTGTGGCACTGGCCTGCCAGGTAAGATTGCTGCTTGCAGCCTCAGCTCCTGGTCTGTCTTTCCTTGTGGAACAGCTGTTTCTGCTGCTCCCTGATATGTCCATTAACTGTTTCCCAATTGTATTTACCCTGGGAAGAAGATAATGTCTCGCAACCCTTGCTGAGCATAAAGTGTTATCTTTGAGCTGCAAAGTGCATATCAGGTGCAAGTGGGTCTGTCACACTTGTAGGAGGATACTGGTTGATTCTCTTTGCTGATTTACCACTTAAAATGAGGTTTCCATTTGCTAGAGGATGCTTTGCTACTGAACTTCAGGTTATTGAGCAGTTAGATTACCTCTGGAAAGTATAGGCTGCTCCCTTGACTCTCTCCCTGTTTGTTTGGAGTAAAACATGGATCGTTTTCACCCACCCCACGTGAGTGGGAAGAATGGCTCTTTGGGGAGCCCAGCAGAGGGTTCTGAGTGGGAAGAATGGCTCTTTGGGGAGCCCAGCAGAGGTTGTGCTGGGGAATCCATTCCTTGCAGGTGGCTGGGGACAGCTGCAGGTGAGCTCTGGCCCGAGGCCAGAGGCTGTGAATTGCTGACCCTTCGGGTCACAAAGGGCAAGAGGCTGTGCCAGGTGAGGACCCTCATGGCAGGAGCTGAAACCTCTGACTTTCTCGTGCTTGCTCTGTGAGGGGATAAAAATCTAGAGTTTGCTTTGTTTAGCCTCCCTCCTTGGCGAGGGCAGCTTGGGCTGTTTCTGTGTTATTGCACCACAGATAAATTGTTTTATGGAATGAGACATCTGGGGCTCAGCTATGGGAAACCTGGTGTGAGTGTGGGGGAGACACAGGGACCTGTCAGGCTTCAAAGGGGCTTCAGCCCCAGCAGTGACTGCTGTGGTGTGACTGTGGCTCTGTGACTGGTCAGACTGGGAAGTTTCCTTAACAGGAAATTCCAAAATCTAATGACCAGAATGGAGGGGAAAAGAAGGGTTTTTGTGTAAATTTATTGAAGTCAGGAGGGACTAAATGAGGGAGAGAGATGGAAATCCTACAACTACAGTCCAGAAATCTCTATGAAGAAAAGACTGAGCAGCAGGAGGAAAGTGTTGTTAAAATAGAAGTGTTGGGGTGAGAACAAACTGGGTTATCATAAGGAGTTGTTGGGCAATTGGTTGATTAAATGTGATAATTCTTTCTGCTGGAAACAGGGACTCAATAAGTGCCCTATTCTAGAAACTGTTGTACAAACTTATGTCATTTAACCTTCGTTTCACAAACTCAGAATCTTACACTAAATTCGTATTTGCTCTTCTTCAACAGAAAGAGTGTAGAGTAAATTCATCTAACTTAGTTTTTGACTGTAGGACATCTAGAAGAGTGGGAAATACGGATTTAAAGCATAAGAAAATATCTGGTATCTTTAAAAGGAGCCACAGGCACAAGTGGGTTCTCATGGAACTCCCAAGGAGCTTCAGCATTGTGCTCTGGTGCACAGATGTTAAACCTGCTGTGTCACTTTGAAAAACTGGACTGATAATCACTGACCTTTGTCATTAATCTGGCATTTAGAAAACTCTTAGACTTTTAATACATGCTTAAATATTAAAATGCCTTAATTTACATATTTCATTTCTGCATCTTGGTTGTGAAGCTGTTGCATTTAATAAGCTATTGACATCTAGAGGAAAATTCAAATACATCCAAATCTGGCCTCAATTGTCACTGAACCCATAGTTGTTTCTTTTCTTCTTGGAGGATGATATAAACAGTAGGCAAAATTTTTATTAATAACAGATATTTGCGAGAGTGCAGGATAGGAGTTGGTTGCCTTGTTAGGTCCTGGCTGAGAAAATGTTTGCTATTCATAAAATTGCTGACTTTTAGTAGGAGCTAGAATTGTCAGTGATTGATCTTCAGATTGCTTTCATTATGGGGCTTCCACATAGAAAGATCACTGTGTTTGGTTTCATTTTTTGCCTTTTTGCCAAGGAGGGTGATTTATAATGTTAGCTCATGAATAATGGCCAAAATAGATTGTGAAGCTCAGAGAACTTCATCCTCAGAGTGGTTTAAGCTCAGGGCACACTGAAGATTGACATTAGGGTAAACGTCCCTGTGCAATTCTTCTGGACTGTTTAAATGTCTCTCTTAATTTTTTTTTCCCCAGTGATAAATCTCTCTGTCAGGACCTCTCCCATAAAACAGTATCACTGAAGATGACTTAGCTTTAAAAAACCCCACATTTATTATCTGGATAAATATTTAGCCTATTTCAAAAGAGGGATAATCTTTGCTCTGTTTGCTAAGAAAATGACCATTCCCCTCTCTTTGAACTCTTTTAACTGAACAAGGGCTACATTCCTTCACAATTTCTTAAGTATTAATACTTAGTTTTTTGAGTATTTTTCATGATATTTCATTGAATTTTTAATGGTTAGTTGAAATACAGCTTTGTGAATTCTTCCTAGTCTATACATTTTATCACAGTAAATTTATCTGTAGAAGATTTGAGACTTTAATACAAATAATTGTGGTAGTATCCAGCTGAGTTAATTTCCCAGTGGATTTATCAAGAGGAGTAGATCACATCAAAATTAATTACAAAGTCTTCTATAACTTATTTAGCAAAGCCTCTGCTTATTTGCAAATAACAATTGAGGTACTATCAATAATAGGACAACCTGAAGTCATTGAGAAAAACTAATTAAAAATTTGTTTACATTTAGTAACAGCAGTTCAGATCAGAATTTCCTTCTCAAGTGATAATTCATTGTCAGATTTTTTTCTTTCATATGTTAGCTAAGGCATGCAATGAATGATTCAGGCTAATTCAAACTGCTTTTGAAATTCACCAGCAGCTGTAACCAGGGTAACCTCTAATTCTAATCTTAGTTCACTTGAAAGTCTTAAGCTGTTTTTATCAGGTTTTGTGGTGAACTCTTCCCTTATATATCAAGCATTCATTTAATCAGTGAATCTTCTGTCCAAGGAACTGCAGCACACAGTGGATGTTATCTCTAGATTGTAACTGTTGAGGCTTTTGAGATGTGTTGTTTCTAGTTAGTTTTTCATTACATGCAAGCAAAGCAGTACAATACATTAGTATGGTAATTGACTGAAAAAATGTATTCTCCCATTGTCCAAGTATGGGAAGATAAAAGCCAGAAGTTATAATATTAGATTGGAAACTGAAGCACAATAACTGGTACATTCAGAAATGCAAATGTTTCCCCTGCTCCTTCATCTCAGTGGTGTGCTGAGCCATGTGGGTAATTCCTTGTGTCAGCTCAGCTGAGGGGTGGATGTGGCACACCAGGAGCACACATTTGTGTGGGTCAGCACTGAGTGATCAGTGATCCCATTTGTGTGGGTCAGCACTGAGTGATCAGTGATCCCATTTGTGTGGGTCAGCACTGAGTGATCAGTGATCCCTTTTGTGTGGGTCAGCACTGGGGTTGATCAGGAGGAAATGTGTGAGCAATTCTGCCCTGACTTCTGGAGGTGGAGGTGCCAGTGTTCATCAGTAGGGAGTGTCAGGATGCTACAGCTGATATGGCCAATGGGTTAGGATTGGAACAGACAGAAATAATCTGCTTGCATCTGTCAAGAGAGCATTCACTTACATAGAGAATCTCTCAAAAAGAGCCCTTCCTATTATGACTTGATCATAATATTGTCATTTGGAGTAGCAGCAGTCTTCCATTCCTTAGTGGGGAGACTTTCCCATGAGCATCTTGATAGTTAGATGGATATTATTATGATTTAAGATGGAAAGAGTATTTTTCTTTTTTCAGTATAGTTGATTAACTTCTGTTTTCAATATTTATTTTTAGCTAAATGAAAAAAGCAGTAGTGATTACCCCAAGTTGTTACACTGCTCATGCATGATGGATATACTATCTAGAACACAGTTAATTTTCCTTCTAACTGCATATTGCACTTCCTGCAGTGTCAGTTATATTGAATGATAAAGTTAAGCCCACTCTGGGATTTAATCTTTTTTATTAAAATTGTCAGCTATATGAAAAGGGAACCATCAGCATCAATGGAACCTGTATTGGTCCCAGCTGCTAGTTATTTATGTGCCCCTCTGGTATATCACACATATTGCTGAACAGACTCTGCATAAACTCACACATTCCCAAAATAAAAAGAGAGACTCCTCCTGCCAGGGCTGTTAATTGAGTTTTACCTTGTAGTCATGTAAACAGAACAGGAAGAGACAAACAGTTATTCTAACATTTACACAGGATATATAATACTGTGTTATTATCTCTCTTATTTCTAATCAGCTCTTCTGGTTTGTTTTAATTCCTAGTAAATTTTTTTGTTGTTGTTTTTTGTAAAATAGAGCAACTTCTTTCTCTTCAGATGTAGCCTGCAGTATTGGTAAGATTTGGTAAATCAGTTTTAAGTCTATACATTTGCAAGCTTTCTTTGTTGATGGTGCTGAAAAGTGAAGAATGCAGCCCTCTGTGGGCTAATATGCAAGACTGGGATAATTGAGTTTTTTGTTTTTGTAGATTCAAAGTCTAGAACATCAGGTTATGACTCTTCTAGGAAGACTGAAATGTTGATTCAAAGTCAGTCTTATTATTCTGGAGCAAAATGGAAACTGTGGAGACCAATGCTCAGCCAACAGTGACTCCTCTACAGGGACAATTAAAAATGTGCTGAATATTTGAGCCGAATGATGGCCTCACTTCTTGGGTGATGATTGCTTAATCTCGTCCTTAGGGGAGGAACTTTCATGCTGTTCACAAACATCTGAATCCCTTCCTGCAGTAGAATCCATTTACCATTGTGCAAATATTCTGTATTAATTCTAGACCACACACAGATCTGAGTGGCATCAGAGTAAGACTGCAGTAACCCCAATTAATTTCAGGAGGCTTTTTCCAGGTTTATCCTACTCAGATAAAAATGTGTGTATTTATCTTTGAATTGCATGGCACAGACTATTGTAATGAGGTGCATTGAGTTCCATTCTCAGCATAAATTAATTTGGGGTAGTCAAATGAAAAATGTTTCACACCAGATTGGCAAGCTAGATGGTCCTTTATCACTTCAGTTAAGGAAAATATGAATGTTAATGAATCTATTTTATTCTATTACAACTTCTGAAAATAAAAGAAAATCTAACACCTATGGGATTTTTGTGTTTTTTTGGTTTTTTTTTTAAAAATTGATTAGTGAGCACTGAGGATACTGGCATTTGTAGAAAAAAGACATTAAATTCTAACTGTTTGGGCATCTTTTTTTTTGCTAGGAGTTGGATCCTTTCAACAGAAAACTTTGACATTCCTTAAAAAAAATGGAGTCCTTTAAAATATTGATTTTATTGGTCGTCATCTATAAATTCTTGGCAAGGAAAGGTCAGTGGCAGTCAGGGAGCTGCATTCAGATCTGAGGCAGATCCCTCACCTGTGTTCTGTAAGGCTTTGCTGGTGCAGAGGCAATGACATCCAGCTGTAGTGGAAGAACATGCTTCTCTAGGAAGCCCTGTTGTGGTGCACATCAGCATAACTTCTGAAATTAAAAAAAAACCAAAAACATTTTATGGAGGAAATTGTCAGAGATTAGGTGAAAACACAGTAGTTTCCTTGTGCCTTGGCAGCTGGGGGACCTGGATGACTTCTTTCTCCCTGATGTTCTCCGTGCCCTGCTTGTGTCATGGGGACAGCTTGGCAGTCTCACTTGGGTGACAAATCTCACTGCATGGAAAGGATTTGCTGTGCACACATGGAGAGGATAATCAAGGTACTCTGCAGTGCACAGTTCTGCCTGCTGGATATGCCCTGCTTGGCCCTGTCTTTTCTATTGAGTCAGGGAAATATATATTAAAACGAAGAAAACAACAGAAAAAAACTACTTGAAATTTATGAAGGTGAGAATTTCAGCCTCATTTACTGTGCTGGAAGGTTTTATATGAATGCTGATAGAATTGTGATTTCACTCATTCAATTTATTGCTTTTTTTCCTAGATTTTTATATTTTCACCTACCTTTTATGTTGAGTTTCATCATGTTTCATTCCATGAATTTAGGTAGCAGAATGGGTGCCTGTTCTGTTTTAGCCTTGGCAAAGTACAGCACAAAGTTATGAAGCTATTACAACTGAGATTGTCTCATTTTAATAACAATATAACCTTTGATTCAGATAATTTTATTATTTCAATAAATGCATTGTATGGAATTGGTGCCTTTTTGTCTGTGGATGCTATTTTATGACCACTGAATAACCATCAGTTTCAGGAAAGGGAAAGAAAACTGCAATGCAGTACGGTATTCCTCTTCAACTCTTTTTTATCAATTTGCTTATTTAATGATTGGAAATCAAATTGATGGTCAGGTATTTCTTCTAAAGCCTTCTTTGTTGTTCAGGGAAATTTAGGAAAGAACAGAATTTGACATTTTAATAAAGAAATTTGTCTTTATGCTGCACTCGGTATGTTTTTCTAGAGAAGAACAAGCCATAACGGGAAAAATAATAAAGATTATTTTTTAATGTCCTTTACCTTGAATCCAGTAATCAGAAGAATGATGTAGTTCAAAAGACCTAATTTGAATATAAATTTGTAATTATGTTACTGAAAGCTTTAGTAGTTTTCTGTTTAAATCCCTAGGGCCCAGTCTGCTCTCAAAATGATGTCATTGCTCTGCTATTCCTGAGTATTCCCAGTGCTGGAAAAAATCTTGACTTACAACTATTGAAAGAGGAAAATATGAAACCCAAAACACCACTTTGTTGCATTTATTGTAGTCTGACTGTGTCCATTACTCCAGATATTTTAATTTTTGAGTTACAGAAGGAGATGGGCTCTAAAACCTAGGACACGTTCGACAAATAGATTTGGGAATAGCTCAGGGAATAGACTCTGCATCACAGTAGGAAAACTCAGTTTTAAGACAAACTCGGTGACATTTAGTAAAGTTGACAAATTATGAAACAAAGCTCTTAACATCTGTTCCACCAAAAAGCATATTCCCATTTATGAGAACATCAATTAGTTCTTTCAGTTATGTAGATGATTTGCATAGGCTCAGAAAGCTTCATGAGAGCAGAGAAAATCTGCAGTAAGAGAGTCCTTTTAATGTGTTTTCAGTCTGTTTTTTTTTTTTTTTAGAGTAGAGGTTTAGAGAGTTTTCATTCAACATCTATGTCGCTCAGACTTGTAATTTAGGTGTTGAAGTTCAACACATGTAGGTCCTAAAACTTAGATGATGTAAATCTCCAGGGAGGTCAGAGGGAGCCTGCTGCACTCAACATTTGCAGGTGTTTTGTAAATCACTTTAAAACAGGGGATTATGTTCAGCAAACTTGAGGTTTTGTGTGCTTTGTCTGGTACTGTAGAAAGACAGGAAAAAGAGAGGGTGGCTGTTGTGTGTCTAAACTAATTGGCCTGACTTTAAGAATTACTTGAATGATCTTAATAGTTAAGTATAGATCTTATCTTTTGGCTTCAATGAGTTCAATATTTTCATAAGTTCCATGAACTTTGAGCGGGAATTTTTGATTATGCTTGTTTATTATGAAGAAACCAAACATTTTATTTGCTACAGATTAGTTTTAATGCCTTTTCTTTGTAGGCTGGGTAATTACTGTAATTTTCACTGCCAATCCTTAAATACCTTACTGGTGCTGGGAGTGCTCTGACAATCAGCTCCAGCTCGGTGCTAGCAAGAGCCTTTAGCTAGATTAGAGTTCAGAGAATTAGAAAAAAACTTCACTTGAACTTCTGCTTAAAAATTAAACAAAGACTATGCATTCCCTGCCTTTCAGACTAATCCACTTCACAGTGCAGTTTTTGATGCACCTGGTGGCACAGTGTAGTAACCCTGAGGTTATTCTGCACTTCCATGTTTGCAAACGTTGTCAGTGAGCCTATGCTTGTGTCAGACCTGGGAGAAAGCCAGAAAAACACAGTGAATTAAATTTGGCAAGCAGTTCTTAACTTTGAAGTCTCTTCAAGTTGCAGTTTTATTGCATTTTTGTTGGTTTGGTGTAGTATTGAAAAATACTGCTCTTGAGGTGTGATTGGATTTTTTTTTGTTGATTTTTTTTGTTTGTTTGTTTTCCTATGTGAGCAGACCTGTGAGCTTGATACGAAACTTTTCTGGAAACAGGAGTTTTGTCACATGGCCTTTTTTGGAAGAGCAGAAGGTGATGCTTGAGTTAAGTCTTTTTCAATCATCTTTCAAATTAATGAGAAAATGTTTCCAATTAAAATCAGCATTTGATTAATTAGTAGTTGACTTATTAGGAAGGAGACAAGAAAGTCAGGAGTGTTAGGATGCACTGAATGGAAATCAGCAGAGGAGAGTGTTACAGGAAAGAAAACATCAATGCCTCAGAAGATGCTCTTTGTTGTTCTGCAGGACATCCTTCAAGTGGATTTGAACAAAGAAAACAGCTATAATTTGTAAGCACTTTGAGGTAAATAAGGACACCCATTCTTCAGCATGAGCATTATGTGTAAACGAGTATAATATTGTGCAAATGGCAGATTATCATGGCAAAATAAATGTCAAGGACCTGTGCACATCCTCATACAGTGTTTGAATAACTAATAGATTTGTTCAATTTTATTATTTTAAGAGATATATTTTCATTTACTGTTTTGGCACAGCAGGGACAACAAACATATCAGAGTTGAAAGTGGCACAGAGAAAGAAGTAGCACTTAGTTTTAGAAATTCTGTGTCCTGGAGACACTTATAAATGGGAACAGTGTTGCTTTTCTTTTTTGGTCTTCATGTGGAAGTTGTAGCATTCAAAAGAGAGTACAATACTCAGCAGAGTGAAATTCATCTTTCACAACATTTATGTGAAATTGGCCCCACAGTATTTTCGAGCTCTGTGGGGCTGGGGCTGTGACCGCTGTCCTGGAGAGCCTGTCCCAGTGCCCGACCACCCTCTGGGTGAACGACCTGTTCCTAACATGCAGCCTAAATATCCCCTGACACAGCTTCAGCCGTTCCCTCGGGTTCTGTCAGGGTCACACAGAGAAGGGATCAGTGTCTGCCCCTGCCCTGCCCCTCGTGAGGTCTCCTCTGTGTCTCCTCTTCAGCTGAAGAAGTGACCACAACTGCTTCTCATCTGGAGGGGCGAAATGGAGGCTTTCAAGCAGCTTTAGATCCTTCTGATGCTGTGGTGCTCAAAGCTGTCAGGCAGCAGCAGGACCATTCAAAAACCTTCCATGAAGTGTATCGTTTGCTTGTTTACATTTGCTATATCATCACAGTCTAAATGTTATTAATTACATCTGTAACACAAAGAAGCTTTATGGTTTCTATTCCATCTGAAATATCAATGCAAAATGGCCTCAGCTCTAAGGGAAGCCCATGATTGACTGCTTGGTTCTGGTTATTTAAATTAAAAATTTCAAGCAGAAGTAGCAGAGATTGTTGATATATTATCCAGAATTCAGAGGAAATCAATACAAGCCTTAATGGCCTTCCCCCACTGCTCTGTAGTTGCATTAGTCACATCTTGGGAGAGCACTTTGGCCATCAATCAAAGAAAAAAATCACTTTCTTTTCATATTGTGAACTTCATGGCAGCTTGTGTATAATCTTGGCAAGCTATTTCTGAAATTCTGCAAGAAAAATGCAAGAGGAAAAAGTTTCTGAAAGGATAGTAGGCTTTAAAGCATATACAAGCAGTAATTCAGACACAAGATAAACTTTAAATAACCATTCTATATCCTTTTTGATAATGGAATGATCTGGCTAAGTAACCATGCATGTTTTTGTGTTGAACCAGAGCACCAGAGAAGAGCTGTGCAGTAACAGCCATGCTAGAGTAAATCAAGTAGAGCACCTGCCCAATCTCAGAGATATAAATAAAATACTTCTAATAATAAAGAGTATTTGTTTTAAATCAACCCTCTGCTCTAGTTCATGTTTCACTAGTCTTCTTTATGGGGTAAAGACCCGGGTGGTTTGGATGGCACTGATTGTCTTTCTATGGAATGGACAAGAAATATCTACCAAAACCTTGTTTCATTTCTGAAAATGAGAGGAACGTGGGACAGGAAATTCCTGGTGCACCAGTATCTGGCACATGAAACTCTTGAACTGTGCTCTCAAGTACAAATACAAGTACAAGCTCTCAAGTATTTTCCCTAGTC